CCCGCCCCCGGGGGTGGCGCCGCGTGGCCCTGGGGCTGGGAATCCCGCCCGCCCGCGGCGCCCACGGAGCGGCCTCCTTCGCGGTCACCGAAGAGAGCCCAAGCGGCGCAGACGTGACACCGCCAAAGTCTTCGGGGAACCCGGGAAAGTGGGGGCCTCTCCCTCTGGGGGCCCCATGGATGCAGTAACACAGGGCCCCTTCCCGGCCTCCTCCGCAGCTGCTGGAAGCTGAGGCGTCCCCCTACATCCCAAGATGCTCCCAAAGCCGGAGCTCCTTCCTCGCTGGGTTTCACTGCTGCTTGGTTTTTTACACCGTTTCAAGGTTTCTTTCCTCAACAGCATCGATGACACCATCACACCAGGTTTTGGGGACTCAGGCTTCAGGCATGCCGGCCTGGCCACTGGCCCCAGGGCTCCCTCAGGTGTGGGCGGGGCCAGCTCCAGCAGACAGGTATGCTCATGAACAGCCCCCCCAGGAATGCTCCAAGGGTCCAGTCTACTCAGCTGCATTATGGTGTCCGACTCAGGTGTTTACCCTGCTCAGGTGAGCAGCACCCAGGAGAGAGGGGCATAATCCCATGGAGGCGGGGCAGGAGCCCAGAGCTGAGCACGCACACCTTGGCCAGCAGGTACATGAAGTGTGGGCAGCCCGTCTCAGGTCACAGTCCTGGGCCAGACCCCACAGAACTCGGGGGTCCTGGGCGGATGCACACAGGGCTCCACGGACCCCTCCAGCAAGTGTTCCTGTGTGTCTGCAGAGGTCAGCCTTGGGAGGAAGGGGGGTTTACACCCCCTATCAGCCCAGAGGAGACGAGGCCCACCGCACCCTCAGCCACTCCTCGGGGGTGGACTGGCCAGCATGCTCCTCCGTCTTTGGAGCTTCCCTTCACCGGAGGGGACAGGTCACCCGGGATGTAGTCTGAGAGGCCAGCCCCACTGGGATGCGGCAAGGCGAGCTGGCCGAGCACCCTGGCCAGGCTCCCGCTCTCCTGCTCCCTGGTCCTCCTGAGACAAGCTGAGTCGGGGCAGGTGCAACCTGCAGGGCTCGAGTACCTGGGACCAGCAGGCACACGCGCAGGGAACTGTGCAGGTAACTGCACGCGTATGCACAGCCGTGCTGGCCTGCCCCACCTCTTTCGTGGGCACCTCTTGGAGGACACTGACCGCGTTAACCCAGGAGCCATGGCCACGCTCCCCTCCAAGAGGGCCTGGGTTCTGGGCCTGAGAACCTGGGTCCCTGAGGGCGTCTCAGACCTCTCAATGTCCTCTCACAGCCAGAGGGACATGTGGGGCTGGACAGGCCTTCCATGACCAAGAAAGGTGCTCCGTTCCCCACCCCCCACCACTGTGGGCCAGAACCCACTGGGAAACACTGCGGGCGCTGGCGCAACGGCACAAGGATGCGTCCCCAAGATGTTAATGACCCCAAACTGGTGCCGCTGCTTCCCCAAGACCGCTGGACCCAGGTGGGGACCCCAGCCACCTTGCTCACTCCCACCCCCTCTCCAGAAGTCTCTGGACGGGGGCTGACCTCCCCCGGGGATGAGGAGGCAGCATGGGGTGGGACTGGGTGCATGCCCCCAGGGCGCATGGGCCATGCAGACTGGACCAAGATGCCCACAGGCATGCACCTCCAGACTTCCCTGGGACCGGCAGGGCCCACGTGGGCCAGTCCCGGGGCTCTCACGCAGTGGCCTTGGCTTTCTGGTCCATTGCCCTCCTGCCCACGGACAGGGCGCTGGGCCTCTCCCCACCCACTCGCGCCACAAACCCTTCCCTCAGCTTGCGGGGTTTCCGGCTTCTGAAGACGCTGCCTGACCTTGCAGGGAGGCTCCCGATGAGGGCTGCCACGGACACGCACCCTGGAGCCATGGATGCCTGTGAAGGCATCAAACCCCTGGGTCTGCGCAGGGGTCCTAGGTAGCTTGCGAAAATGCTTTTACCTCTCACAAGAACAGAGGGGGAGGGTTTCACGGGGTGAATCCTGATTGGCCAGAGGCCGCCCCCAGTCCCCAAGGCCTACTCAGGCTGCCCCGACTCCGGCACCCCGCTGGGGCCACGCCCCACCCCCCCATTTCCTACTCGCTGAGGACACCTGGTGGCAAAGCGCAAAACCGTCCGATCGTGCGCGGAGGTTCCCGCCCTTGGCCTGAGGTTGGTGGCTGCTGGGGCACAGCCCCCTCGCTGCATCAGCCGTGCTGGCGTTGCCCACGCAGTGGGGAGCCGCTCTGTGGGGTCCCGGCTGGTGCTGCCCAGCGTCGCAGGGCACCTCCCTGGCCTGAGCGGGGGTGGGGGGGTGACTGAGGGCCAAGGCCAGCTTCCTAAGCGGAAGAGTTGGGGTGGGGGCAGCCTGGCCCAGCGCCTGGCTCAGCCCCTCGCTCTGGCCCAGGGCAGGGGTCAGCCTCAGGGAGGGGTGGACAGTCAGCAGTAGATATGCAAACAACTCATGAGGGTCGGGTCTGGCCACTCACCCGAATAGCAGGTGGAAGACTGTGGAGCAGGGCACAAGGAGGGGAGGGAGTGGGGCCAGAAGCCAGGGTCAGTGAGCGGGGGAGTTCAGCCTCTGTGCTGAGGGCAGGACCAAAGGCGGAGAGGGGCTTCTGAGCCCTGCCCAGCAAGCCCCGCCTGGGGCACAAGGGTGGGGCAGACACACCCCTCTACCTGCAGAGCTGAGAGGCTGCTGTGCAGGGGTGCTGCCCACACCTCCTGCATCCCCAGGAAGGGAACCCCTAGGAAGCTGGGTGATAAGTGCTGGGATGCTATGTGCTGAGTCACGGAGGGGGGGCGGCAGGCCACAGGAAAGGCTGGGGAGCCAGCAGGGTGTGCAGGCTGACAGGACATAGAAGGTGGGGTACAAGCTGAGAGTGCTGGGGTGGGTGGGGCAGAGGTACAAAGGCCACCTGCCTGGAACAGGGGAGAGCTGGGAGGGAGGAGCCCTGGGAGGCAGGAGGGTGAGGCGCTCTGGGGTCCTGTGGGAGGAGGGAGTGCCAACCAGGCGGACAGTTGGAGGGGCTCAGGAGCCCAAGCTGTGGGGACCTGGGGAGGTCAATTAAGGGACTCCAGGACTGCAGGCAGCTGATCCTATTGCCACACTGCCGTCAAGAGAGAGGACACAGTGGCCGGGAGCCATCTGGATGACCTGTGGTCTGATCTCCGGTGGGGACAAGATGCGCAGACACATCCTCAGCCACAGGGACCCCGAGTGGCGGGGTCTCCTGACCATCTGCCTGGGGGAAGTGTGGCCTCCAGGACCTGAACATAAATGCGTAGGCCCCCCAACTGCAAGTCAGCTGTATACATGGTATCCCCCAAATGTAAGCAGATAAGCAAAGGGTGTATGAACAAAGTGGGGTGCACAATGAGACACAGGTGCTGTGGCTGCTGCGTGGAGGCTTGGTGGCTTCAGCCCCACCAGCCAAGGTGTCCTCTGCTGAGCACCCCTGGGGGAACCTCCAGACCTGCTGGCAACCTGCTCAAGAATCAGCCTCTTTTCTGTCACTGCAGCTGCGGCCATCCCCAGCCCAGGAGGGACCCCTGGGCCCAGCAGCCCCCTGTCTCTCTGCTGCCCCCTCAGCAGTGGGTTTCAGGGAACCGCCTGTTCTGTTCCCCACTGTCTCTGAGGCATCCCCTCGACCCCCACTTCTGGCCTCTGTGGACACAGACTCACACTAGTCAGGTGTGGAAGCCAGAAACTGGACACTGACCCCCCCCCTCAATCCCCCCGCACCCCCATCAGTTTCCATCCTTTGCCCAAGTGCCCACATTTGCTCCCAACTGAGGCAAGGCGGCACCAGGACGCCACTCAAGAGGCTCAGCCCGGGGGCGATGCCCAGCTTGGCTGCCCCCTAACTGCCCTGTGCCCCCGCCACCCTGGTACTCACCTGACCTGTGCCCCCAAACACCCTGCCTCCTAACCCCCACCCCCGCGCCCCCACCCAGTGCACAGGGGAGGCCTCTGCAGAGGGATGGGAGGTCCCCCTGTGGGCTCCCTCCACCTGGGGCTGCCACCTGCCCACGCTGACCGTGAGTCCCCTGCTGGGCCTGTTCCCAGAGCAGGACAGGAATGTCACCTTCACAGGACAGCCTGAGCCCTCTCTGACCAGGCCCCGCCTAGCGGCCTGCAGCCAGGTCAGCGCCTCCCTAGGCCCTGTGCTGGCCACACCTCACTGCCACAGTAGGTCTGGCCTCCTCTCACTGCCCACCACCACTACAGTC